CCACAGCTGAGTACCTTACCCCGCCGACGTCACAATGGGGTCAAACAGGTACGCGGTTCCACGGGTGAATGCATGTTAGGTAGGTCACTCCCCCAGTATAAGAAGTACCTCCCTGCCCTGCTGCCCACATCCAATCCCACAGGCTCAACCTTACCAACTTCAACACTACCTCAAAACCCAACGACAGTCTACCCAGCAGATATGTCCGGCCTTATGCGAGAGATGGAAGGTGCCATGGGCGGCGGCGGCAACAACAACCAGCAGCAGGGCGGTGGCATGGGCGGCGGTATGGGCGGCAACGAGCAAGGCGGCATGGGTGGCGGCATGGGCGGTGGTATGGGCGGTGGCATGGACAACCAGCAGGGCGGCATGGGCGGCGGCTACGAGAACCAGCAGCAGGGCGGCGGGATGATGGGCGGCCGGGAACAGCAGGGCGGTATGGGCGGTGGTATGGGAGGTGGGATGGACCAGCAGCAGGGTGGTGGGATGATGGGTGGCGGAGGACAGCAGCAGGGCGGTGGGATGGGTGGGATGCTGAGCGGGATGATGGGTGGCGGAGGACAGCAGCAGAAGTCCGGAGGGTTCATGGGCTCCATGGAGCAGACTGGCAAGAATGCCATGGTTGATCAGGGTATGACTGATTCCTGCTGACTTGTCTATTGTTTGGGGAGGACGGGTGAGGCTGACGTGTGTTGTAGAGGTCAACAGCTTCATGACCAAGGAGGGTGTGCCGGCTGGTGCTGATGGAATGGTATGTTGGCTGCACCCTTTTCTCTTTCGATTTGGATCGGTATTGATACTGGCGCCTTTAGGTCGACAACTTCGTCAACAAGGAGGCCGGCAACTTCTAGAATCGCTCCGATTTCTTCGAATATCGGGCGGCACGCATGGCGGATTCAGGTCGTAGCATGTCCTGAACGTTACTAGGGTAGCATTCTACCGGAATCACTCCGGGTGAACAACCAGATTTCTCCTCGGCTCATCATTATCTTGCCCTGCAGCTGCTCAGATATCGGGGCTATATTAGTATCTGAACACACGTATCGTTCCCAATCAGTACATGTACCAGAGCAACCACTGCCGCGGCTAAATGCCTCGGTAGAGCTCACGGCGATATTCACGGTGAGACGAGGCACACCGAGCAATTGCCGACTGAACAGTCACAATGGTAGGCGATGTTTATTATATATCAGGTCCGTCCGCGGTTGCACCTTGACTCCCCTGCCGTCTAGCACTGGATCGTGCTTTACCAGGAACTCCTTTGACTACCTTGTCCCACGATGCAATCTGTGCCCACAGGATATCTCGGACCTCTAGGCTCGTCAACGGTTTCCAACGAACCACTCATCCTAGGTCGTCCGGGGACCACCATCGATATGCACGGGATCTGGGATCTCGCCAACCTGGCTTGTTGGTCTGCGACGATCTTTGCGGTGTGATGAGAGCACTGCCCCTCGTTGAGACTCTCTACCTACACTCGTCGCCCTCGTTGAGACTCTCTACCTACACTCGTCGAGGGCGCCAACCACCGGTCGGCGGCGGCCGGTGAGGAGTAACTTTCTACCGCTGTCAACCATATCGGATACTCGGAAGACGGGAGCGCCACACGAGCCATTCGGAGCGAGAATAAGGCCGTGAACCGTCTTCGGCCCTTTTCACGCAGCCCTACAGAGTGCAGATTGCAGTAGCCCGCGGCGGGCAGTGGCGCTAGCACCGGCTGCATTCGGGTACCGCACTCTCAACACCGGAGGAGGGACCTCTCTGCTGCAAGCCAGAAGCACATCGCAGACATCACCGGTCACGATCCTTCCCGGCGATCATACAGAGCCCGGGGGTCCCAGTGTTGACACCAGACCCTGACTGGCGAGATCCGTCACGTTGAGCACCCCACCCCCGCTACCATGCCGCCGAGCGCCGTCACTCTTGTGCCAAGACATGGCCCATGCTGCGGACACAGTGCAGTGGTGAAGTATTCCTCACCACCACAGGTATACCATCTTGCTGTAGTATTCTCCCTGCCTCTATTTCGTTGGTCGTCATCTCACCCTCCTCGCTCTAGCCTCCTACCGCACCCTGTGGGGACAGCGGGGAAGCCTGTCCTGCTGCAGTCGGCGCTACGCCACAGAACTCACTCTTGCACATGCGGGATACATGTAAACGATACTCATGTTGATCGAGTCGCTTTCGAGCCCCCCGGGCCCTTGTGTCTTCCCTTGACCAACACCAAACCGCAACACAATGCCGGAATCGCCGACGGCCCCCAACAAGCGAGCATGCGACGCCTGTCACCGTCGGAAGGTGAAGTGTATCTGTATCGGAGACGGGACGAGGCCCTGCAAGAACTGCACGTCGGCGGGTCTGGCGTGTACCTACAACACGGTGCCTCAGAAGAAAGGACCCAAAGGCAGCCGAGCCAAGGTCATCTCGGAGCTGCGTGAGAAGCAACGGCAATCGCAACTGGTCGTTGCCCATCTGCACAACCTTCAACCACAGAGCGCACCATACCTCCCTCGGAAAGGCTTGATCTCCATCGATATGATCACGATCTGCGTGGAGTACTTTTTCCTCCATCTTTACTCGACCCAGCCTGTCCTGCAGCGGACCAAGGTCGGCGAGACCATTGGCCGGATGGAGACCGACGCGGAAGCATACTGCTTGGTCATGTCACTTTGCGCCTACATGATGATCCAGCCCAATCTCGCCCTCCCGGCGAGCGCCTTCGACGGACTCGAAGTCCCGCCTCAGTCCAGCTTCCTGCTTGGCCAGCTTCTCCTAAAAGAGACGGTGAGGGTCCGGAAGTGCTACGACTACGTGGAGAACCCGACCGTCTGGACAGTCATCACCTCTTTTTTCATCTTCGGCAGCAATTTCTGCCTGGACAGGCACAACACGGCTTGGTTTCATCTTCGGGAGGCGACTACACTGGCACATGTCTTGGGAATGCACGAAGAGTCGGCCTATCTCATGACTGATGTCATCGAGAGCTCTCGTCGGAGAAGACTGTACTGGCTGTTGTTTGTGACAGAACGCGCGTACGCGTTACAGAAGCGTCGGCCCTTGACACTATACGCCACAATCAACCTACCCACGCTCGAGGAGGATCCTTCGGAAACCGTCGAGCTCAATGGCTTCCTCCACCTGGTCAATCTCTTCAGGCCGTTCGACGACACGTTCGTGGGTATATGGAACAAAGCCAAGTCCGGCTGTACCACACAATACCTGGCGCAGCTCCAGCAGCAATTGTCGGATGCTCTACCCGTCTACTTGAACAGTACCGAAAGCCAGGCGGTGGATCTGCGATGTTCACAGCAGTGGCTGAGAACCATGGTATGGCAGCTGTCGATCAGCCATGGCTTTCTTTCTTCCGCCGCCGCCGAAAACGCAATGTCCTTCAAATTTCCCGTCGAAGTGGCGCGCGATCTGGTGGCGTCGACCAGTCATTTCTCTCAGCAGTCCATGGAGGTCCACGGCATCGGGCTCGTACGTCTCCCCACCATCAAAAGAGCTCACAACCACCACTAACACCAGCCCCTCCAGATCGAAAAGCTCTTCGACGTGGCCTGCACCCTCACAGACGTCATGTCATGCGTCCCCATCGAACCCGACAACTTCTCCTTCGGGCCCCAACACTACCTCCACCAACTCACGACCCTCATCTCCACCCTCCGCGGCGGCCAGCAGCGCTACACGCCCCTCCTCCTCGCCAAAATCAGCCTCGGCACGCCCTCCATCCCCTCGACGCCCACCTGCTCGTTCCCCGCTTTGTCCCTGACCAGTCTCACGGCCGAGGACCTCTACGACGGCAGCCAGGAGCAGAGCAGCGGGCCCGAGAGCTGCGCCTCGACGTCTTTTGGGAGTCCGCCTTTGAGCGCGCCCGCGACGTTCGGGTTCAGGGATATGGAGATTGTGCGCTCGCCGCCGCCGCCGCTGTCGGCGTCGGGTTCGGCCGGTTTTGGGCTGGCGGAGTGCAGTCTGCCGTTTACGACGGATTTGGCGGGTTCGGCGACGGCGCCGGGGCATTATTTCCAGGATGTGGCGATGGATCGGTTATCGGGGGCGGGGTTGAAGTATGAGAGTGATGGATGAGAGCTTGCGGATGGAAGTAGTACACTGTGGGCAGCAGCCTGGGCTTGACCTCTGGTCTCGCTTGCTATGCACTCCCGAAGATCTCGATCTCTGCGGGAGTCGAACTCGACAGGACTCTCAGGACCCGCAGCTTGGGCTGGCTTCGAGGCGCGTCCCTCTCGAGACGGGCATGAATGAAGGGTCACTGCCGATCACTTGCCGAGCCGTCACTGCGGATGGTCCATACCACGACAGAACGACCGACTAGATTCCGCATGACGGGACGGAATCATCTGCTCGTGGAGGAGGTTGCAGGTAACGTCGAAGTCAGAGGAGGCGACCGAGACGAGTCTACCGGTCACAAGTCTCGACCCGATAGCGCGAGGCGACTTGGCGGCGATGGTCTCAACGGCGCGATACGAGGAAACGATGCTAGGAGGCTTTTGAAGGCGCAGTGCATGGCTGAGAAGGCTGCAGGAGAAACCCCGGGCAATCCTGAAGACGAGCAGAAGTCGGGACCATGTCAGAGTATCTTTTCGGACATTGATGGGTTACCCGACCCAGGCGAGTCGGCCACCAACGTAACCCCTATCCGAGTCCGGGGAGCGTTCTCCAGCTCGGGAGTGCTGAGCCCTACATCCAATATCATGGTTCCGAAACGCAGTGCGGTGACGGTCGCGGAAATTCGCGTAGTTCTTGTCACTAAGACCATAGCTACAGCCTCCACAACCGATCCAAAGTACACACGTGCGCATTCCTCTGCTGTGGCTGTATAGCCGGGGGGAACGGTGTCGAGTTAACGCACATGGTGTAAACATGCCTTGCGGCGGCCTAGTGAAAACCCTCACTAATACCAAAAAGGGACTTTTGCGTGCCTTCCTTTCCAGGCCCTTGAATTTCCTTCCTCGCAAGCCCAAAAAGTCAAGTTGCATGAGCTCCCCATCTGGGAATCGAACCCAGGTCTGTCGATCGTTACCTAGTGCATCCCAAGCTGAGCTTGAGGGGAGTGTAATTTACCTCCCGCGCAATTGTCGTATGACAAGCGGAAATCATGACCACTAGACCAATGAGGACCTGAATTGTTGAACAATCCATTGAGTGACAACACTTTTAACTCGAGTCTGGTGAATGATTATATAGCTCATCTCGAAAGTCTGAAGACTACCCGTGGCGTCAGAAGCAACTAGGAGCTTGGGGAGGTCGAGGAGAAGGGTGGAGAACATCAAGAGAGAATTTTGTTGCTAAGTGGGGGAGGTGGAAGCTGTACGGGACTCGGGAGACTGCCGGTACGAAGGCAACGATGACTGAGAACCGGATGCCCGCGAAACGGAGTATTATGCTAGCAGAGACCGTTCTATCCCACGCGCAGTAGACACCCGGGTGACGAGTAGCAGCCAGCCAGGCGCTACAGATAACGAGTATTCAACCATTCGACGACCAACAGCGATGTGGCGCTGGTCCTGACGACGCCTTCGAATGCGGATTGCAGTCCTTTCGTCTCGTACGATGACTTCGGTGGCGACCTGACTCGGTTCATGGAGACCGTACATAATGATCAGTAGGTAGCGACATTTCCTGGTCGGCATATACTCTGGGTGGTAAGGGCTACGTCCCATTCCTGAATCGTAAAGCCATGTCGACTACAGCTTGAGGCCAACATGGAGATGGAGTGCGAGGGGTCGTTGACTCAGTGCACGGGCCTTGATCAATGCGCGTCTCACGCAAATGGCCCCGCGTTAGAGCCAATTACAACGACGCCTTGCACGTCTCGCCCATGTCTCGTCCTGCATACTAAAGCCAGCTTCCTGGCCCTCGCAGCTAAGTCCGATTGTAATTAAATCGGCCATCGTACCACCAAGAGACCTACATCTACTCCTCTGCCCCATACTTCCAGCTCCAGACCGGAATCCGGAGCTCAGCTCGCAGCACCACGCGTGGATGCACGCAATTTATCACGACCAGGAGACACGCGCGGAGCGGCGAGCGTGACGGGCACCTGTTAGAATAAACCGTGACCGACATATTTCCCAGGTGGCAGGCATCACACCAACAAAGCTTCAAGGCCTTTCGGCACCGTCCTCACTATGAAGGCTGCTCCGCTACTGGTAGCATGGCACGACGAGAACGCACCCATATACTCGGCACACTTCGAGCCCCATGGCAAGGGAAGGCTAGCCACAGCTGGCGGTGACCATCATGTCAGGGTGAGGCCGGGATCACATACGGTCTGAGTGTGGATCATGCTGACGCCTTGTAGATATGGCAGGTAGAGGTCAACGGCGATGATCGCAAGGTCACATACCTCTCGACTCTCTCTAAGCATACCCAGGCCGTCAACGTGGTCAGATGGTGTCCTCGCGGAGAGCTACTAGCTTCAGCAGGGGACGATGGAAATGTGTTGTTATGGATCCCGTCAGACAACCCGGCATTGCAGGCAAGCTTTGGCGAAGATGACCGGGAAGACGTGGAGCACTGGCGGGTGAAGACAATGTGCAGGTCAGGAGCTGGTCAAGAGATCTATGATCTAGCGTGGTCGCCAGATGGCGCGTTCTTTATTACGGGGAGCATGGATAACGTCGCACGAATACACAGCGTCTCATCGGGTATTATCTGTCGTCACATGTGGTTGAACTCACGCTAACAAGCAGCAGGAGCCTGTGTACGGCAAATCGCCGAGCATAACCACTACGTGCAGGGTGTGGCGTGGGATCCGCTCAACGAGTTCGTGGCGACACAGTCTTCTGATCGTTCCATTCACATTTACGCATTGAAGACGAAAGATGGCCAGTTCTCGCTTGCTCCGCATAACAAGGTCACGAAAATGGACTTGCCCGGACGACGAATATCATCGAATAGCCCAGCGCCACCCGACTTCTCCAACGGTCACCGGGCGTCTTTCGTACAGGAAGCTCTCTCCGAAGCCTTTGGCTCTCCGCGACCATCTGCACCAGGAACGCCGCAGTCTTTAGCTCTACCGATGAACCCGCCACCAACGTCGCACAGCCGAAGGTCTTCATTTGGCTCACAGATGGGACAGTCAACGCGGCAGCGCTCAGTCTCACCAAGTCCATCAATGCCCCTTCCGGCGGTCATGCCGTCTGCCTCGCCAAGCATGTCCGGCGGCCTAGGGCTTGGCGCGCGGAATACTAATATCTACGCTAATGAGACCTTCACATCATTCTTCCGGCGACTTACTTTCGCACCAGATGGGAGTCTGCTGTTCACGCCTGCCGGGCAGTACAAGACAACACACCCTGTCAAAGCAGACGGCTCGAAGGCATCAGACGACATCATCAACACGGTGTACATCTACACACGCGGCGGACTCAACAAGCCTCCTGTGGCATACTTACCAGGTCACAAGAAGCCGTCCATTGCCGTCAAGTGCTCGCCTATCTATTACAATATGCGCGCCGTCAACACCGACACTAAAGAGATCACAATCGACACATGGACAGATGAAGACATCCCTCAGCTGCCAGAACCTGCGATAACGTCGAAACCCACGCCATCGTATTCTACTATGGAGCCACCGCCACTAGCAGCTGCACCATCACCTTCGCCGAGCGCAGCAACAATGGCTTCTCCTCGGCATCTATCCGATGCAGAGCCAGTGACCGTGACACTCGCACCACCAGCAGCTGGACCGCCACCAGCTTTCGGTCTCCCATACCGGATAGTCTACGCAGTCGCCACGCAAGATGCAGTACATGTCTACGATACACAACAACAACGGCCGCTGTGCGTTGTCAGTAATCTGCACTACGCCACCTTCACCGATCTCACCTGGTCTAGTGATGGACATACACTACTCATGACGTCGTCCGACGGGTTCTGCTCGGCGTTGACGTTCTCACCAGGCGAGCTGGGTACGGTGTACCATCAGCCCACCGCAGGCACACCTCGACAGATCCCACAGTCGATCTCCGTCACAAAAGCGAACTCAACGGCGTCGACACCGCAAGCTACCCCTACTGCGCCATCGGCACCGGTCTCCGCGCCTCTCGTCCCTGCCCTGCCACGCCAGCCCTCCGCGCACAACACACCCGCACCTACGGCACCAAACCCATCACCTTCGCCCTATACATCCGCGCCAAGACCCGCTTCACCTGCCCGCAGTATGTCAGTCTCAAGCGTCGCCACGGACGCGAGTTTCGCCCGCTTCGTGCCGGATCAGAACGCGCCGCCTGTAATGAACAACCCAACGCCCAGCATGACCTCGCTGCCCTCCGTTGCGGCCGCAGGTTCCGGTCTCCCGCTCTTCACTCCGCCGCAGACGCCTGGTCATCATGTTAACGGCTCGATGGGCAGCGTGTCGGGTGTGGTGGGGGGCGTGAAGCGGCCGAGCGATGCATCCGAGGCGGCGTCCGAGGAGGGCAGGGAGTGGAAGCGGAGGCTAGCTCCGACGCTTGTTAAAGGGCAGGCGAGTGGGGAGCGAGGGGCAGGGAATGGGACGTCGGGTACGGGGGACAGTTGAGAGAGCATGGAGGATGGTGGGAGGCAACTGAATGTTATCTCATTGATTAGTTCTTTACAGCAATTAGCATGGCGTTGGGGAGGGATATCAGACCTGCAGCTGCTGTGCTGCAGTGTGTCTTAGCAAGTGTACAGATTAAGCTACGAAGTGGTAGATCAACGCAAGAACATCATTGCAAAGCAACCCATTCTACTCTCATACCACGCTCATATAAGACGGACTCCATTATACGCATGTCCGCCAAGCCCTCGACCTCGGCTGGACACGCCAAGCCTGACACTGACACTGCCCTGTCATTGATAAGCGGCGGCAAGGCCCGCTCAGGCCTTTCCTCTGGAGCTAGTCGGGTCCGACCGCGACTCGTTCTGGAAGTCGAGTGTCCACCGCGCTCATTTCGTTCATGTTCCTTCATCCGCCCACCTTTTAGACCGTCACGCCCGACGCCTTTGACATCTTGCCGCACCAAACAATACCGACGCACTCGGATATCGCATTGATCCCGTACACCTTGCCTTCAGCGCCCTTGCACACTGCCTTGCCACCACACGCGAGCTTCTCCAGAGCTTTGCCAAGCGCGCCGTTTCAGTGGTATGTATGTTCATACTCTTCAAACAATACACATTACTTCGAGGACTCGCTCACTGATAGTCATTGTTAGAGCCATCAGACCGGACCCTCACATACAGCGAACGCGTCCTCCCAACATCCCCCTGATAATCACCCCTCAAATCGCCCGCGTCTGTCACCTCGAACGCTTCCACGAAGATGGCCGAGGTTGCATCAATGCCGAGTAGCAATGGTTACACCCCACACCAAGGATACGGCAGTATAGAACACGGCAACAACGCCTACGGCTCCACCTCCGCCTCCGCCCAATCCATGTACAACCAGCCCCCGGCGCAAGAGATGGCCGGTACTGCCAACCAGTCCGACATCCCCAAAGCCGAAGTGAGCTGGTATTTCGCCGAGCAGTACTACACGACGATGAGTCGCAGTCCCGAAAAGCTGCACCTCTTCTACGGCAAGCCGTCGCAGTTTGTCTCGGGCCAGGAGACGGACAAAGTCCCCGTGTCGGTTGGCCAGCGCCATATCAGCGACCGCATAAAGGAGATGGATCTGCACGACTGCAAGGTCCGCGTGACGAACGTGGACTCGCAGGCCTCGGGCGCCAATATCCTTATTGTGGTTATTGGCGAGATGTCGAACAAGGGCCTGCCGCATAGGAAGTTCACGCAGACGTTTGTGCTTGCTACGCAGACCAATGGCTATTTCGTGCTCAACGATATTCTCCGGTTTCTGATTGAAGAGGAGGATGAGGAGCCCGAAGACGATGTCGTGCCACCGCCTGAGGAGAATGAGGAGGACGAGGAGCTTCCTGAGAATCCGCACAACCTACCCGACCCACTAGGGGACTTCGAAAAGGCGCAGAAGGCGGCTATGGCAAGCAGTGAAGACCCGCTTTCGGTAGAGCCCGACGTAGAGGCGGTGGACAAAGAGCTGGAAGAAAAGGTCGTCGAGGCTCAGGAGCCTCCAGCCGCTACAGTGAATGGCGACGCTGAGCCGGAGCAGAAACAGGCCAACCACGTTGAAGAGACA